TTTGAAGACTTCGTGGAATATTTTTTTGTGCTTAAGTAAAGTTGATTTATTTTCAAATTTTCTCTCGCACTTGTTGCATGTGAAATCTTTACTACTTTTGTGAACCGATATTTGGTGTCTACTCAAATGACTTCGGAACTCAAATTTCTGTTCGCAATCGTTACATGTGTAATCTTTTTTTGCATTGTGAATTATGTTTTGGTGTGCTATCAATCTTGATTCAAGTGCAAATGCTTCCTGACACGTTTCACAAACGTATTTTTTGTCGTCCGAAATAACAATGTCATGTTCACTCAAATTATTCTTTAAGACATCTTCCTCGGGTTTCTTCTCACTTTTATTCATTTTGCTGACTAAATTTAACGATAGATTCTTGTATGTAGGAAATTGAATGAGTAAAATCAATCTTTTGGTTCATAGCTTATTTCAGCGCAAAGACAAGATTCAAACTATTTGTTTCTACTATAAACACGATGAGCGTGTCGAGAGATAATATCAAAATAGTTAATGATCATATTGTTTACAATTGTAAGTTACCGATTTATCTATTGTACATTGTCCGTACAATGTTCGAATCAAGTTAAAAATTTAACTTGCCGACCATTCTATGAAATTTTATTGTTATTTTCATTCCTTATACAAAAGATAATAATACAAATTTAAGTAAAATCAGGCGAGATTAAATAATTTTAGCACAATATTAAATTTTGTACTTGAATGTACACATATGTACCTTCATATATTTACAATTGTCAATCATTATTTCTTTTTGCATTTGCTGCAAACTTAATCTTTACATGCTTCGTGTGCCTTCTTTTGGTGTAAAAGCAAAATCCATTTATGTCCAAATTTTTTCTCGCACTTGTCGCATGCGAAATCTCTCCGACCTTCGTGGACTGTCCTTTGGTGTGAGAGCAAACTCGGTTTTTGTGAAAATTTCTGCTCGCATTTGTTGCATGCAAAATCTTTACGACCTTCATGAACTGTCTGTCTATGCAAACGTAAGGTAAATTTATGTCCGAATTTCTTCTTGCACTTGTCGCATGGATAATCTTTGCGACCTTCGTGCACTGTCCTTTGGTGCTTCAACAAATCTGATTTGAATCCAAAGTTCTTGTCGCATTTTTCGCACGCGTAATCTCTACGACCTTCATGGATTGTCCTTTGGTGGATCAGTAAATAATGTTTATATCTAAATTTCTTCTCGCACTTGTCACATGTGAAATCTTTATGACCTTCGTGGATTGACTTTTTGTGAAATAGCAAGCTCGACTTGTGTACAAATTCTTTCTCGCACATGTCACATGCGTAATCTTTCCGACCTTCATGCACCGCCATTTGGTGTCTAATCAAATGGCTTTGAATCCCGAATTTCTTTTGGCAATTGTCGCACGTGAAATCTTTACTACCTTTGTGGATTGTCTTTTTATGGTATAGCAAACCCGATCTGTGTCCAAATACTTTCTCACACTTGTCACATGCGTAATCTTTTCGACCTTCATGCACAGTCTTTTCATGTCGAAACAAATCGCTTTTTAGTCCAAATTTTTTCTCGCACTTATCGCATGCAAAATCTTTCCGACCTTCGTGGACTGTTCTTTGGTGTTTCAACAAATTTGATCTACTCATACATTTCCTTTCACAATTGTTGCATGCGTAATCTTTGCGACCTTCGTGAACTGTCTTTTGGTGGTGAAGCAAATAATATTTATTTCCAAATTTTTTCTCACATTCGTCGCATACAAAATCTTTGTGACTTTCGTGTAACATTTTTTGGTGATGCATCAAATTTGATTTGCTTCCAAATTTTTTTTCGCAAATGTCGCATGCGTAGTCTTTGCGACCTTCATGTACTGTCCTTTGGTGTATGAATAAATCTCCTTTACTTCTGCAGTTTCTATCGCATTTGTCACATGCAAAATCTCTGCATCCTTCGTGCACTGTCCTCCTGTGCAAGAGCATATTCTGGTTACGTCTAAATTTCTTCTCGCAGTTACCGCATGAGTAAATTTTGAAAACATGATGTACTGTCTTCAGATGAAAGAGTAAAAGCGATTTTTTTATAAATTTCTCTTCGCAGTCATCGCATGCATATTTTTTACGATCCTCATGGGTTGTTTTTTGGTGTTTTTTGAAATTTATTCGATCCCCGAATGTCTTTTGGCGTTTGCTACATGCGAAATTTTTATTACTTTCATGGACTGTCTTCACATGTACGAGCAAGCTTCGTTTATTTCCGAATCTTTTCGCGCACTTTTCACATAAGTAATCCTTGAAGACTTCGTGGAATATTTTTTTGTGCTTGATTAAAGTTGATTTATTTTCAAATTTTCTCTCGCACTTGTTGCATGTGAAATCTTTACTACTTTTATGTACCGATATTTGGTGTCTACTCAAATGACTTCGAAACTCGAATTTTTGTTCGCATTTGTCGCATGCGAAATCTTTTTTTTCATTGTGAAAAGTGTCTTGGTGTATTTTCAAGCTCGATTCCAGTGCAAATGTCTGCTGACAAATTTCACAAACGTGATTTTTGCCATTTGAAGCCACAATTTCGTGTTTACTTAAATCATTTCCCGAGTCAAGCTCTTCCGATTTTTTCTCACCTTTATCCATTTTTGTGACTAATCTAAACGACAGATTCTCGTATGTAGAAAATTGAATGAGTAAAATTGATCTTCTGGTATTATGGCTTGTTTCAGCGGGAAAGACAACATTCAAACTAATTTGTTTCTACTGTAAATACGATGAGTGTGTCGAGAGATAATTCAAAAATAGTTAATAATCGTATTGTTTACAATTATAAATTACCGATTTATTTTTTCGATACAATGTTCGAATCAGTTTAAAATTCTAACTTGCTGACCATATCTTCGAGGAATTCTATGAAATCTTATAGTTATTTTCATTCCCCATACAAAAGGTAAAACACGACAATGACATTGTCACGCGGGTGTAATGATAAAAATGCGAGAAAAATCAGATGAGATTAAATAATTTTAGCACAATTTTATTTAAATTTTGTACTTGAACATATGTACAAGTACCTACATATATATACAATTGTCAATCATAATTACTTCTTGCGTTTGCTACAAATCTAATCTTTGCTGCCTAGTATGCCTTTTTATGGTGTAAAATCTTTGTGTACTGTCTTTTTATGTCTAAACAAGTTTATTTTGTATCCAAATTTTTTTTCGCATTTATCGCATGAGTAATCTTTTTGACTTTCATGGACTGTCTTCCTATGAATGAACAAATGGGCTCTTAAAAAATATTTTTTCTCACACTTGTCACATGCGAAATCTTTACTACCTTCGTGAATTGTCTTTGTATGGTAGCGCAAACCCGTGCTGTGTCTAAATACTTTCTCACACTTGTCACATGCGTAATCTTTTCGACCTTCATGTACTGTCTTTTGGTGGGTAAGCATAGTCGATTTTTTTCCGAATTTTTTCTCGCACTTGTCACAAGCGTGATCTTTACGACCTTCGTGGATTATCCTTTCATGGGTTAGTAAATTCGGTTTGTATGAAAATTGCTTTTCACACTTGTCACATGTATAATCTTTACGACCTTCGTGTGCAGTTCTTTGGTGCTTTAACAAATCTGATTTGAATCCAAATTTTTTGACGCACTTGTCGCACGCATAATCTTTGCGACCTTCGTGGACTGTTCTTTGGTGTCTGACTAATACCGATTTTAGTCCAAATTTTTTCTCGCACTTGTCACATGCGTAATCTTTGCGACCTTCGTGTGCAGTTCTTTGGTGCTTCAACAAATCTGATTTGAATCCAAATTTTTTGGCGCACTTGTCGCACGCATAATCTTTGCGACCTTCGTGTACAGTTCTTTGGTGTAAAAGCAAATACGATTTTGTTCCAAATTTTTTCTCACATTTATTGCATTCTAAAGTTTTTCGGCCTTCGTATACTGTCTGTTTGTGTGTCGACGAATTTGATTTTAGTCTAAATTTTGTCTCGCACTTGGACGTATAATCTTTCTGACTTTCGTGGACTTTTTTCGCGTAATCTTTCCGACCTTGTTGTAGTGTACTTTGGTTAAAGGGCAATCTCGATTTTTGTCCAAATTTCTTCTCGCAATTGTCACGTGAAAAATCTTTAAGGACTTGGATGGAGAAATCTTTGCGACCATCGTGTACTGTCTTTATGTGCATGAGCAAGCTTTGTTTATTTCCGAATCTCTTGGCGCACTTTTCACATAAGTAATCCTTAAAGACTTCGTGGAATATTTTTTTGTGCTTGATTAAAGTTGATTTATTTTCAAATTTTCTCTCGCACTTGTTGCATGTGAAATCTTTACTACTTTTATGTACCGATATTTGGTGTCTATTCAAATGACTTCGAAACTCGAATTTTTGTTCGCATTTGTCGCATGCGAAATCTTTTTTTTCATTGTGAATAGTGTCTCTATGTGTTATCATGCTTGATTCCAGTGCAAATGTCTGCTGACAAATTTCACAAACGTATTTTTTTTCGTCCGAAATAACAATGTCGTGTTTACTTAAATCATTTCCCGAGTCAAGCTCTTCAAATTTTTTCTCACCTTTATCCATTTTGGTGACTAATCTAAACGACAGATTCTTGTATGTAGAAAATTGAATGAGTAAAATTGATCTTCTGGTATTATGGCTTGTTTCAGCGGGAAAGACAACATTCAAACTAATTTGTTTTTACTGTAAATACGATGGGTGTGTCGAGAGATAATATCAAAATAGTTAATGATCGTATCGTTTACAATTGTAAGTTTTCGAACCAGCTTAACATTCTAACTTGCCGACCATATCTTCGAGGAATTCTATGGAACCTTATTGTTATTTTCATTCCCTATCCAGAAGGTAAATCTCGACTCTCTGTCGAATAATCATATATGCGTAGCATTTGAAATCGCTGCTAGCTCGAATCGCACCTGCTTCTATGACCCGCGTGCAATCGATATCGACACGCCAAGCATATTTAACGTCGTATAGTAGCACTTACCTGCCAACGAAGACGAAGCGACCAGTGAGATTCATGCGCTTCGAGGCCTCCATGAGATGCCTGATGGTGAAGCCCTCGCAGAAGCAGACGACGACGTTGGCCGCGCGATCCTGATCGAGATTCTGTACGACCGCGTCGAATGCCGACTCGTCGGCCGTCGTGAGGATCGAGTCCTCGCGGGCCACGCACACGTTGTTCTTCTCGGCGAGCTCGCGGAACGCCTGGATGCCGCTCGTACCGTAGTTCTCTGTAAGAAAAAAAAAAGAAACGGAAAATTTATCATGAATAAATAACGTTAGGTGGAAAATAAAAAATATTTTTTTTTATCTATACGCCGAGAGAGGAAATAAGGTAGGCGAGCGAGCGAGCAAACGGCAATTTGTTTCCTGCCGCTGCTGCTACTGCTCCGCAGCCAGTTAACGCAATTACCGCCCGATGATTTTATCGCACTTTCAAGTCGTCGTCGTCGTCGCAGGCGCGCGTACATCGTATATATCTTAATAGTAAGAAGTCAAGCCTCCAAGTAGAAGTGGCCCAAGGAAACTCGATCGGGACGCCCGCAAGCGCCGCGCCGCAGCTCATTTCCGCGGCGACTCTTATTCTACGTATATATATCTAAGATGGCAACTCTCTGAGAGCTCTAGCTGATTTAAAATCGATCTTCGTAGCAAAAAAAAAAAAAAAGGAAATGTCGTCGAGTATTTGAAAAGACGTGCGTCGATCGAGCGCGAGAAACCAAACTTGCGACGCGGGTTCATATATTATATTCGCGGGGGGCAAGTACCTTACGCCGGGGCTGCGATGATAACGATGATAAGACTAATGGGCTTGCGCGCGCGCGAGCTTATCGCAAACAAGTCGAAAAACTTTTCCCTCCCCCGCGATCGAGTGTAATCGAGAGTGTGATTATATAATTTTAATGTCGGGCGAGGATGTATCGCGCCACCTGCAATCGTTCGTGGATAAGGATACGCGTCGATTTTTGGGTTCAACAAACGCATACGAAACAGGGATGAAATTTTAATCGCCTCGTGCAATTTTTGTACTAAATTCAATAAGGATAATTGATAAAATTGAACGACCCACCAGGGGGTGTTTGCCCGTTATCATTATAAAACTTTAGCTCGTTCAGCCATCTAATTAAGATCCTTGTCTAGGCGCGCTGCGTTCCTATCAGTTTTTCTTTTGCTCTTTCAGATCGAACTTACGTAACCGATGAAATCGAGCTTATATATCCTTGCCGCACTTTTAGGTAATTCGCGAGCGACGAATTTTAAGCTGTGCGCACCATCACAGTGATGTATACGTAAAGTCAAACTCCTCCTGCAGTTATCTTTTGTGTGTCACGCACTCACTGTGTGACGCGACGGGCCTTAATTCTGCTCGTCACTCACTCACTCATTCGCGCGAGCTCGACGAAATCGTACACTTCGCAAAGTCACTCGCGCTGTGGAAATTCTCGAGCACGTAGGGCTTTTTAATTTTTTCTTGTGCTCGACAAAAAGGAAAATCGAAAATTTCTGCAGCTCGTTCGGTTAAGATTATATTACATTATATTACGTTTATAACGCGTAAAAATCTCAATGGTGAAAATGCTTGAAAAAAAAAATGCGTATCCGACTCTCAACGGTATAATCTTTCACGTTGCAGCACTACTACTACTACTACCCGCTCCGGTTTACAACAATGCGACCCTTTAAAATCTCGTTAAACGTACACTCGGGTGAAAATCATAAACTTGGATTTTCTCTCGCTAAAACGTTGAATTTCATTAAAGGTCGGTGGCGAACGAAGTAGGAAGGGCAAACTTAAAATCTAGCGGCGCGTGTCTAAGTGTCTCTCATCAGCACAACAACAACAACAAAAAGTCCTCCACGTGTACAGCCGCTCGCGCGTGGCATATATAAATTTAAAGCTGTCGCGCGGCCATCATCAGCAGCGAGCCTTAAAGCCATGTATTATAATATATATCATAATATTTTCGGAGCCACTCTCGCGCGATTAATCCCTCACCCCCTCGCGCGCGCGCTGAAAATTACCGAATATCATCAAGTGGCAGCAGCCTTGCTCGTATATAAAGGGGAAAAACCCGAGTAAGCGCGCGTGGCTAAATAGTTTTATATCCGAGAGCTGCTGCTGCTGCTGCTGCTGCTGTATGAATGGAAAAGCTTAGCGCCGAGCCGAGAAAAACGCGTGTGTATAATAACGTCCGCGCGGTAATGACCCACTGAAGAACGAACTGTATAGTGTACACGCCACACTGAGCGCAGCAGCTTGTATATTATTATATTATAAAAAATACAGGTGTGCATGCATAGAAGGGAGGACGGAATTTTAATTAGCCCTCGGTCTAGCCTCGAGAGGAAGAGAGAGAGAGATCCGCAACGTTTTCTCGAATTGCTGCTCGCGATCTTGTTCTTCTCCGACTCGAGCCACTACTCGGCCTTCGAAAGGTCGCGCTGTGCTGCGGGGAGAGAGAGGGCAATTAGCCGTACTACTCGTTTCGAGTTAAAATTACTTCTGTTCTTTTTAATGCGCGCGCGACGATTCGCGTGTTACCTTTGTTGATCCGGCGACACGTCAATTTTCTTCGCTTACTTTTGCCAGCTGCGCTTTCAATCCTTTCTTTTTGACTTCAACGTTTCTCTCTCTGCGTGGTAAGTACGTAGTTTCATTTCTTCGATAATTTAATTCGTAATGACGCAGTTTTTCTTCGCTCGCAGAGGTTATGTGGGCACCACGACACGACGTAAACAAAGTCGATCGGTTCTGAAGTCTCTACTCGCGCGTAGTAGTAAAAATGGAATCCAATGGTTCATTCGACTGCTCGGCAAGGTAATTTTCAATTGTGACAATTAAACGGTAAAAATATTATGACGCGTTACTTCATCTCGTTGAGGTTATTTCAGAGTGAAGGAGGAGCCCAGTGATGTGCCGCTCGTTGAGAATAATTGGGAGATGATCGACGAAAAACCCGATCTTTCAAACAACCCATATCCACGAGTAAATTCAGTAAGTGTTGGTAATTATACGTAACTCGTATTCTATATTTTTTAAAGAAAATTCTTACGTAATAATAATTTTCCAACAGATTCATCATGGCCATCGAAAATGTGACGAAAATCATACAAGTAAACTCGATGACGGAGTTGAAATAGTTGTGGAGTGTGAAGACGTCAAGCCTAATTTCGATTTGTTAGGGGTCAAAAAAATTCACGATGATTTTCCAAATTACTCACGGAATGTAAAAGTTGATGATGAAAAAACTCTAAAGATAATGAAAATGGAACCCACGGAGGAAGTGAAACAGGAATTTATTGGAAACGATGGTGAAAATTTTAACCTGAATCTCAACTGTGAGCTTGAACAAAATAAAACAAGTAGGATTACGAAAAAATTGAACAGCGATCGTAGAATAAAAAAACACATCGGTGCAGTACGTAATGATCGGAGACTTTATAAATGCGATACGTGTGGAAAGTCATTTACACAGAAGGTTAATCGAAAAATCCACATCGATGCGATGCACAATGGTGTCACACATGCATGTAATTCATGCGAGAAGAAATACACACAAAAGGTTTCACTAAATAGACACATCCAATCAGCACATAATGAGGTCCTACATACATGTGATGTTTGCGGAAAGAAATTCACAAATGAGGATAGTCTCGTAACCCACATCAATACGATACACAATCTTGTCAGATATCCATGTGGTACATGCCAAAAAACATTCGAAAGTAAGTATAAACTCAAAAGCCACATCGATGCGGCGCATTTTGATAACGCACCTGCATGTGGGTTTTGCGGAAAGACATTCACAAATAAGGATAGTCTCGTAACCCACATTGAAACGATGCACAATGGCGTCGGCCATGCATGTCATATTTGCGGAAAGAAATTAACAACGAAATCTAATCTGAAAACCCACATCGATTCGATGCATAATGGTATCACATATGCATGTGATATTTGCGGAAAGAAATTCTCATCGAAAAGCAATGTCAAAATCCACATGGATGGGGTGCACATAAATGTCAGACATGCGTGTGATATTTGCGGAAAGTCATTTACTCAAAAAAATGATCTCAAAATCCACATCAATGGGATACATAATAATATCACACATGCATGTGATATTTGCGGAAAGTCATTTACTCGAAAAAATAATCTCAAAATCCACATCAATGGGATACATAATAATAGCACACATGCATGTGATATTTGTGGAAAAAAATTCTCAACCAAAAGTTATCTCAAAAGACACGTCCATTCGATGCACAATGGTGTAACAACTACATGTAATGAGTGCGGAAAGACATTCGCAGATAAGAGTAATTTCAAGCGCCACGTCAATGCGGTGCATCGCTCACGCATCACGACTCAACGATAGCATAAAATCCAATGTTTATAATTTATCAATCCTATGTATTAATCCTACTATTATGTTTTAAGACTTTAAGACTGTACACAAAAAATTCTTGAGTTTCCGAAAAATTAAAGAAAATAAAATATTCTCATTTCCAACGTGAAATTTTAATTAAAGATTTTTAATTTAAAAATTGGATTCGCAGACCAATATCATATTCTGGATTAGTTAAAAATTACTGCCCACCCGTTCTTCCTGTACTAAAAAATTAAACGCTTCAGCCCGACCCTAAAACATTCATTCCACTTCGAGAAAAATATATAAGCGCGTTGTGCTCGTGGTGATAAATGTTTCACCCACGCTTCAGCCCACGACGGGTCAAACGAGGACACTCATCGAAAAGTCCGTGGCATTATGATAAAAGATGAGCCAAAGTACTGTATCGATGGTCAGACTCGACGTTATTATATACAGTTGGAAAAATTTCATATATGTTACGGACGATCCGAGCGCGAAAGATCCTTTATTTACATTCGGGGGAGCGGAACTTTTTCGACAATTTCAACGCAGGTAACTGCGTCGATCGAGACTTTACTCGTGCGCGTAAACATCGCGATCGCGTTCAATTACGCGTGTGTGCGAGAGAAAGAGAGACCCCTCCACCCATGTCGAAACAATCAACAAAAATAACAAACGCGTTAATTAGCGAGAGGAGTTGTTTAATGAGAATAAACCTTCGCCCGAGCTATATGTAACTTGTTACAATAACTCTCGTGTATGTATGTCTTTGTCCGAGAGAAATAACGGAGTAATTTTCAGCTATTTACTTAATGTTTCGCAGGACGTTATCAATTACGAATACCCAAAAAAACGAGCATCGCGCCAGGACTCAAGACAACTGTGCATTGATTTAAATCCTCGCAATCGTCACCTCGAGCAATTGGAACGACGATTCATTACGGTTATACATATAAACCGAACGATCGTAGTTCATTGGCTTAGCTGTGAATAAACTCGAGGCTTGAATTATTCATTTTTCCCGCGTTAGATCGATAAAACAACGCGCGAGACGCCAGACGGTTAATCGGGATGATGCCAGTTTGCGTTCTAAAATTAACAATATCGTTGAGCGCCGGGGATGTAAAATTTACTTGAATATTCATTCATCGGGTCAACGACGCAAAGTAAACACAAGGTGTATACGAATTTCGCTCGCTGCTCTCTGTTGGTCAACACACAGAGTCAGTGAACGTCTCGATCTCCAAACTGCTTGGTCACGCGCGCCCCGCAAGATCTCGACAATTGATCCCGCGCTGTATACTTCGTTCGGCTGTGCAGAGAGACATTCTAATTTTTAATACCACGAGAAAATGTGCGAAGAAAATTTTCGAATGACCTGGTCGCTCGAGGCCTTTGAGAAATTGCGCGAACACGTGCCGAGCCTGCCCTGGGACAGCGAGCTCGAGACGCTGCTCGTGGCTCGACTGTACATCGAGTTCGTGCATCTGGTGCTGCGCTACTTGGATTGCGAGAAAGGTTGGTTGCCCGATGATTTATTTATCTTTTTCTTTTGTGGTTTTTCACGAATCATATCCGCGATGATCGATTTTTTCTGCCTCTGAACACACAGTGGAAGAATTGGCCACGTTCTCGGCCGCGTTGGTAAAGACGATCACGGAGATACGCAAGTGTCCCGATGAAATCAGTGAAAAAATCGTGTCGGGATTCGACACCTGGAGGATGGAGCAGTCGGCCTACATCGAGGTGGATGATGACGATTCTTGTTGAAGCCCTTGACATTCGGACTCGCAAGTCCGTCTAAATACCATTCAAGTAAATAGATGGGCGCATTCTTTTTACAATCAATTATTTGGTTAAAGAAAACATTTTTTTTTTTTCAAATGATACAAATAATAAATAATAAATTCATTTCAACGTCAAAGGATTTTACCTCGATCTTATTCGTGAACAATTATTCTCATCGCTTAAATTTTTTCTCAGCTCAATGACAAAATAAACCGTAATCTTAATTCAGTCATCGATCTTCGAACGTGTTCATATTTACGGACAAGCGCTTACAGGTGCTTTTAAAAAAAAGTGACATAACTAAGCCATATCCTGACTTTCCCTATACATACATAATCAAAAAAACACCCCCGCGAGGAAAGAAAGAAGAATATGAAAATATGAAAATCGGATAACGACGCGATCGTAAAAAAAAGGTACGTTCACGTGTGATTTACTTTTTCTAGATTGGCTCTCGTCGCGAGAGCTACAAAGGTCCGATCGTTGCGACGCTCCCTTTATGATACACGATTATTATGGGTACCTGTAAGTATAGGGTCGTATCCTCTCCGCGTCTCGTTTATATGGATCGCGAGTGTAATGACATTCGTGATTTCTGCATAAAACTGTATGAAGTCTTGCGTTATTAGAGGCCACGTATACAAAATCACGATTCTTGGGAGAAAAAGTTATCTTTAATTTTCAGTTGTGTACATTAAAAAAAAACTTTAAATTTAATACAGATCAAACATTGACATTGAGCTAAGCATTACTAAATTTTATTCGAGCTATTTTTACGTGAAATCTTCGTCGAAAATGCATCAGTAATGATTTATATAAACAAAAGTGCAACCATATGATTTAATTTTTATGCGCAAATATCCAAAAAGAATTCTGTACACAAATTGAAACATTTGGATCGCGAATCAACGTTTCGTTAGTGATCTATTTTTTGTCTTAATTACTTAAAAATGTACAGAAATTCAATTATCATTAAACCCTTCACCGCTAGATGGCGAGTACCTTTATAGCTTTCAATCTGCAAGTGGTAAAGTGAAAAAAATTGTATAAATCATGTAACGATGAAGAAAAATGATCTTCTTACATCGACCAATTCCGATAAAGTGTGTAAGATTTTGCCCTGTCAATTAATCACACTCACGATCTATCCTGTTAATGCATCACAGCGAACAAGTTCTCTATCCTAAATTCAAGAAAAAAAGTGTCAAATACTTTGCAAGAGAAAAATCTCCTATGACACAAAAATAACGTAGTTACACAGTGAGAGAAGAGGAAAGTAGCGATATCGGTGTCAGAAATGCACCTATTTTCGGAACAATGGTTTGTATTACGAAAAATTCCCTACGTGCGCGCCTCGTTTCGAACGTAAAAATATATTTTTACAGCGAATCTACATTTCGCATCGCAAAATTTCGAGCTATCGCACCAATGCACACGGTACTGCGTGTTTTTGTTTTCATGAATTTTGTAGTTTCGGATTATTTTTCCTCCCTCTTCCTATTTTTTTTTTATTTACAGCTCGCAGGACTTTTACCGACAGCGCACTCGCGCAAGTTTTTTTTTTATTATTTTATTTTTATTTTTTTTTTTCACGTCGACCAGACTTACTCGACGTCCATGAGCTTAGATTTTCTATTTTTATGCTTATTCACTCTGGCGTCTCTCGCGTCGCGTATAGCATCTTTGATCGAGCTCTCTTTCTCTCTCTCTCTCTCTCTCTCTTGTCAGTGCACTGCACAGATGAGATCTCCGGTAAGAGAGAAAGAAAAAATCTTCGACGACGACGTCGATAGGTATGTAGGTAGGGGGTAGTGCAGCGTAGGTAGTTTTTACACTCGAATTTGCCTGCAGGTGTTTGCGAGCATGTGGGTCAAGCTTTTTTTCTAAAAATCGAAGCCGATGATACAGAGTCTCGAGACGCTCGAAGCTCGATCTTTCAATCTATATATATACAGTGCGAGGGTGGTGTCTGAAAGCAGCAGCAACGGAGTGCATATGCATCGCTGGCCCCGTAACCCAAAGATACGACGTTACAGGTGGATTTATTGTACGTACGGAATTCTATGCGCGCGGTGACGTTTCGGAAGCATGAAATGCACCCGCGTTAAAAATTAACGATTAGCGAGAGCTACGATGTCGTGTCGCGACGACGACGCGGCGAAAAATGTAGCTATCGATTCGACCCGATTCCACCGATATATTTTAAGAAACCACCCCTGTGTATATATACGCTCTACTGGTGGTGGTGAGAGTTCATGATACTCGCTCGTGTATCTAGCTGTTAATTCGCGCCCGAGAGAGAGAGAGAACGAAATCGATATGTACTACAGAGAGTCTGGCGGTATGTACGCGTGATTGTACACGACGGTTTTTTATTGTACGCGTGCGTAAGGATCTGTTGGCTCGATGTTTTTTTTGTGGGGAAAGTACATAGTTTTAGGAGGTCCAACAATTCTACAATAAATTCGTCGTCAAGTCAGAATTTTAAATTGTTTCAAATATTATAAGAATAATGTATAAACGGATAAATCGGTACCTTAATTGTAAACAATATGATCATAAACAATTTTGATCCCTCGATACAATGAATGTTGTCATTCGCGATGAAATAAGACATAATACGAAAAGATAAATTTTACTTATACAATTTCTGTAGTACTAAATGGAAAAATCCATCGATTAATAATTTAGTCAAAAAAATTTATAAAGGTGAGGAGAAAATCGAAGGATTTATCTTAGAAAATAACTCAAGCGTTGTTTCAGACGAACAACAATACGTAAGTGATATTTGTGAGCAGGCATTTACTCTGGAATCAAGCATGATAACAAATAGAGACATAATTCACTATGAAAAAAAAAATTTCGCATGCGACAAGTGCGAAAAGAAATTTGAGTTTCGAAGTCATTTGAGTAGACACCAAATATCGGCGCACAGAGCCCTCAAAGATTTTACATGCGACCAGTGCGAGAAGAAATTTATGAAAAAATCAAGTTTGTTAACGCACCAAAAATTAGTGCACAAAGATCGCGACGATTTATCATGTAACAAGTGCGAGAAAAAATTTGAAAATAAATCAAATTTAATCAAGCACAGAAAAATATTTCACGAAGTTTTCAAAGACTTTTTATGTGAAAAGTGCGCGAAGAGATTTGCAAATAAACATAGTTTGCTCGCTCACATAAAGACAGTACATGATGGTCAGAAAGATTTTGCCTTAAAATTCGTTAGAGATTACTCTTGCAATAATTGTGAGAAGAAATTCAAAAATAAACATCATTTGCTCCGACACCAAAAGTTAATCCACGAAGGACGCAAAGATTTCTCATGTGACAAGTGCGAAAAAAAATTTGGACAAAAATTTCATTTGCTCATGCATCAACAGGCGATACACGAAAAATGTGGGAATTTCACATGCGATAAGTGCGAGCAGAAATTTGTAAGAAATTCGGTTTTGCTTGTACACCAAAAAACAGTCCACGAGGGTCGCAAAGATTACGCTTGCGACAAGTGTGAGAAGAAATTCAAAAATAAACATCATTTGCTCAGACACCAAAAGTTAATCCACGAAGATCGCAAAGATTTCGCGTGCGACAGATGTGAGAAGATATTTGGAAGTAAATCAGATTTGATGAGACACCAAAGGATCATACACAAAGGCTGCAAAGATTATGCATGTGACAAATGCGAAAAGAAATTTGGACAGAAATGTTATTTGCTTATCCACCAAAAAACCGTCCACGAGGGTCGCAAAGATTTCACATGCGACAAGTGTGACAAGAAATTTGGACACAATTCACATTTGCTCTCCCATCAACGGATAGTACACGAAGGTCGCAAAGATTACTCATGCGACATTTGCGAAAAGAAATTTGGAAAAAAATCAAATTTGATCCAGCACCAAAAAACGGTACACGAAGGTCGCAAAGATTTTGCATGTGACGAATGTGAGAAGAAATTCGGACATAAAAGTCATCTGCTCGTACACCAAAAGACAGTCCATGGCAGTCGGAAAGATTTCGCATGTGACAAGTGCGAGAAAAAATTTTCACAAAAACTGGTATTGCTTTTGCACCAAAAAACAGTTCACGAAGGCCGGAAAGATTTCGTATGCGACAAGTGCGAGAAGAAATTTGGACGCAAATCGATTTTGGTAGTCCACCAAAGGACAGTCCATGAAGGTCGGAAAGATTACGCATGCGACAGATGCGAGAAAAAATTTACAAACAAAAAGAATTTGCACATTCATCAAAGGACTGTCCACGAAGATCGGAGAGATTTCGCATGCGACAAGTGCGAGAAAAAATTTGGACATAAATGGTATTTAGACGTCCATATAAAAACAGCCCACGAAGATCATAGAGATTTCACATGTGACAAGTGCGAGAAGAAATTTAGACATGCTTATTATTTACTGCTCCACCAAAGGACAGTTCATGAAGGTCGGAAAGATTACGCATGTGACAGATGCGAGAAAAAATTTGGACAAATATCGAATTTAATCAGACACCAAAAGACAGTTCACGATGATCGCAAAGATCACGCATGCAACAAGTGCGAGAAAAAATTTGGACATAAATGGATTTTGCTTTTGCACCAAAAGAAGGCACACGAAGGCTGCAAAGATTAGACTCGCAGCAAATGCGAGAAGAAATTATGATTGACAATTGTTAATATATGTAAATACTTATGTATATATTCAAGTACAAGTTTTATTAAAAATTGTGCCAAAATTATTTAATCTCACCTGATCTTACTTAAATTTGTATCTTTTCACCTGTGTGTTAATGCCATTGTCGACATTTACCTTCTATATAGGGAATGAAAATAACAATAAGATTCCATAGAATTCCTCGGAGAAGTGGTCAGCAAGTTAGAATTATAAACTGGTTCTAACATTGTATCGACAATATAAAATAGAAGAGTCGGAAAAATTACAATTGTAAACAATACGATCATTAACTATTTTGGTATCATCTCTCGACACACTCACCGTGTTTATAGTAAAAACAATTTAGTTTGAATCTTGTATTTCCCGATGAAACAAGCTATAATACCATAAGATTAATTTTACTCATTCAACTTCCTAGATACGAGAATCTGTCGTTTAGATAAGTCAGCAAAATGGATAAAAGTGAGAA